AGTATAAGGCGACCGGAGGAGCACGACATCTGTCCGTGGCTAATCTTTGAAAAGCATCCGGCGCTAAGTGTTTCGACAACCAAAGACTTAAGTGCATTGTGAGCAATGTCACGACTTAGCTCGGTGTCATGTGTGTGAGAGACGGTTTGAGTGATATTAGGTTTGTCGGCTTTATGTATATTATGTGACTCTTTAATTTTTAAAGGTATTTGTTTGCCGCGAATGTTATTTATTTGTTTACCGCTTGTTAGTATTGTATTAGATGTTTGCACCTGATATGTATTGCGTTTACGTGGTGCATTGATGCCGTATTGTTGTTTAGGCATGTAATCGTTGTTTTGTTGCCGTGAATTGTATTTACGAGTGTTGGCAACAGGTGATGGTAAACATGGTTTTGTATTGGTATACGATAGATCTGTATACCTATTTTTGTGTTGTACAGACTTATGTTGGTTTGTTGGTGGGACATCGGCTGTACCGAATTGTCTTTGCATTTTAGACCTAACGATGTCCCATTGCGTATAGTTGTCCATAATCTCGTCGGCGTACCACTGAAGAGCTTTTGATTTTAAATTGTACATCAACTGATGGATGCGCTCGGTACCCGACATGTGTTGTGTATTAACTCATATAATTTGAGCCATGTTTCGAATTTAACATCGGTATTATAACCGGAATACTTTGTTAATGTCATAATTATAATTTGTTTAAATTGTTTTTATAATAAATGTTTTAAATAAAGATATAATATTTAAATGCTTTTAAATAGATATAAATTAAATTATTATTTAGAGTAACCTTTAACAATTGGTTACAGTGATTTAAATGTTTTATAATAGTTATGATAATAAATTAGTTTAAATATATAAAGTATTGAATGTTATAATTCAAATGAGTAACCTTAACAATTGATTACTATGTTATTGTTAATAAATGTATAATAAATTTTATAATTAAATTTTTAAAGTAAACTCTATTTATAATGTATTATTAAGCTGAATATGATATGTATTAAATGTTTTATAAAATTCTGATAATAATAATTTATAATTTGATCTAAAGTCGATTTTAGATATTAACTGAAATACAGTATTGTATAATAAATATTTGTTATAATATATTTTATAATAGAAATTATAATTGTATTTAATAAGTAGTAATAATAAATGTTTTTAACAATTAAGTGTTGTTTAAATGTAACTTAATTGTATGATAATAAATTGTAATAAAATGTGTTTTTTTTAAATAATTTATTTTATAGAAATTATCGATATACTGAATAAATTTCAATAGTATTTGTTTACAATAATTAAATGTTATAAAGATAATTGATTTACAATAGTTTGGATTAAATGTTTCAAATAATTATGTATTGTAAATATAATTGTTTAATAATTGTTTGAATTAGATGTTTAGAAATATTTTAAATATATTTTGTTTGTATTTATAATTTTGTAATTATAATTGGTATGAATTGTTTAGTATGTCTGGTAGATCTCTTTTTTATTAAGTTAAATTGTTTTAATTTGAATGACTATAAAGTTGATTTTATAAATGTGTATTAAACTGTTATATGGTTTAGTTTAGTTTAAATTGTAAAAATAAATTGCTTTTGAATTTGTTATTTAAATTGTTATATTTGTATTGTAAGATAGACTATACAAGTTATTTACGTATGATTAAGTTTATAATATAAACTAACGTTAACTGTTGTCTATACTGTACAATAAAGTAGACTGTATTATATGTGTATGAGTAACCAGTTATCGGCTACTAGTACTAGTGTACGGAAATTGAATTGAAGTAAATGTTTATTAACTACAGTATGTGTATTAGTTTTATATGCGCTTGTGTGCTAAATGTTTTACGCTGCGTTTGTGAGGGCTATATGTTTAGGTATATTTGCGGCTTACGGTATCGCGTGGCTTACTATCAGCGCAACTAAGGTTTACGCGGCTTACGATTGGCACGGCTGTGATTCGCGCAATAGGTACTGATCGTCCACCGCTCGTTCAGGCTACGTAGATCAGATTTATATTTGGTGAGGCCCTAATAAGTAGTTTAGTTAACAGCGGCAATTATTTCGGTAATGTGTGCGCCAAGTATTGTATGAGTACATTAAGTGTACTGTAGTTATAGTGTAGTTATGTTTTAAATAAGTTTAATATTTTCGGTAATAATTGCGTAGCTTTTGTTTTATTGTTTGTAGTTATTTGTTCATTAAGTTTATTTATGTAAGCTACGGGTAATTACATTAGCGTGTAATTACTATTATTGTTTACGGCAAATATAGGCTTTGAATTACTATTGATATGTAATTGTACTGTACTGTACGGCACTATCGGAAAAAATAAATTAAATAATTAGGCCGTGTATAGTGATAAATATTGGGTAACTGATTTATACAGTATTATAGTATAATTGCTTTTTAATAAATGTACTGTATATTAATTTTATTTTTAAGTGAAAGCGCAGTAATAATTATGTATGGTTAGGCAGGACTGTTATTAATAGTATTGTCGGTAATATAGGTAGGGATTTGCAATCCTACCGACTGCGCCAAATGTGACGGGCATATATGGGGGTTTACCCGTCAATAGCCCGTAAAGTAGACTTTACGAAGCAATAATCAATGCGGGGTATGTTTGATAGGGAACTGTGACGTAATTTATGAATGGGTTGCTATTTAGAAGACTATTTAAGAATTACGGTATATTTGAATGGCTTATTTACTACGTCACAGTATTTATGAATAGCCCATTCGGGGCTCTGGTCACTGGTAACTGCGCTGTATATCGGTATTTAGTATCGGAAGCCTTGTATCGGAACTTAGAAAGACTTGTCCGTAAGATTACGGAATAATAGCCTAACTCTGTTACACCTAAGGCTTGCACTTACTATTCAAATAATTAGTACAACTATTTATGAGCCTTGAAGCCCCTCCTAGACTAGCTATTGCTAGCCTGAGCTCGACTTTATTGATAAATATAATGAGATAGTCAATGATATACATGTATTGCAAATTACAGTATATTAAACATAATAATAATTAATTTAACTTATTTACAAAATTAATAATAAATTATAATGCATTTTAAACAACAAAACATAATATTAATAAACATAATTAATACGAAATTAGACAATAATATCAAATATAATTAAATATAATATAAATTTTAATAAATTTAAATGTGTTTAATATCGCACATAACAAAATCGATTTTGTTATGTGCTATTGGTAACGGTAGGAGCGCTGATGATATTTGTCCCGTTATAAGTTAATAAAGTATAAATCCTAATTGTTATAGGAATTGACAACTATATGCTAAATATATATATATATTGATATATATGTAGTGTTGGCAAAAAAGAGAAATTTATAAAATAATAGAGAAATTTCTAGAAAGTTTCTAACATAAATTTCTATCTATGGGACCCCTATGTTAATTTTGTTTTCTGGATATATGTTATTATGTAACAATACATTGGTTTTACAAGTAATAATTAAATATTAATATTTTTATTATTAATTAAAATAAAAATTAATTTATTTAATTATCTTAAATTTTTATATATATAATAAAATGATTATTAAAATTTTAGAAAACTGATTATTATTAAATAATTATAATTATTTTACATATAGGTATCGCATTTTGTATAGTAGTGTATAGTGTAATGTTATATGAATAGTAGTATTGTCTCATTATTTATATATTATTTCAATAGCTATAGATATGGGGATCCCATAGTATAACAATAAAGTTAAATTTCTATAGAAATTTATTCCTGAGAAATTTTCTAGAAACTTTCTCAGTGAAATTTATTAGAAACTTTCTATTTGCCCATCTCTATATATATATGCTAAATATATATACTGTATATATATATATATATATTGATATATATGCTAAATATATATTTAGTATAAAATCAACAAAATATAAGATAATAAACTAAATAATAAACAAATCTTATAATATTTTTTTCTCACTACATATAAAATAAAATTTTTAAATGTTTTTTTGTGTGATAATAATTAGTAGAAATTTACTAAAAAATTATTTCATATATATATATATATTGTTAACATTTAATAATTAATTTACTGTACATTTATTACAACACATAGAAACATAATTTTTTTTAAATTAAACTTAATTTTTTAAATTTCTTATGAAATATAAATTTCTATAGAAATTAATATAACTAACTGAAACATCATTGTATTATTATAAAGCAATTTATTAAAAAAAATATAATTCATTAGTATTTTATGTTGAAATTTTGTAATTTATCAAAAAAAATCTTATTAACTATAATTTTGATAATTTTTGCGTCAATAGTAAGTGATGGACACAAAAAAAACAGTAAAATTTCTAAATAAATTTTCCTGAAAAACTAATTTTTAAATAATTAATAATCTATTTGTTTAAATAATTTGTATTAATATATATATATATATATATATATATATATCTATTAGCTTATAAATTAGTTGTTTAATGTAATAATAATTTTTGTTTATTTATTGTTGTTTTTTATTAAAAAAAAAATAAACAAATATAAGTATATATATTAATAGTTTTTTTAATAAAAAATAAATCTGTTTTTTGTGTGATAATAAATAGCGGAAAGTTACTAAAAATTATTTTCATATTTATTTTATTATTTCAAATTATATTCTTAAAATTTAATAATTAATGTACTGTACATTTATTACAACACATAAAAACAAAATTTTGTTTTTAAAAATTATTATGAAATATAAATTTATATATTAGTAATATATTTTTAATATAAGGGCTTATTTTTCTAAAAGCTATATAAATCCTAACTGCTATAGGAATTGACAACTATTTGCTAATTAATATAATAAAAAGACATCAAAAAAATTGTAAAAACATTTTTTACTTATATTATATTATATTATTAATATAAATTTTATACTTAATTTTTTTTGAAAATAAAAATAATGTCAATAAAATTAACCATGTTAATGATGATGATGATGACAACCATTATGATGATTATGGTGTTTACGGTACCAGTAGATTGCGTGAAAGGGTATGTATGATAGCTATTAGCCTATTATAAACTAATTATTAACTTGTTATTAGTTAATATTAGTTTTTATTAGTTACTAATTAGTATTAGTTATTATAAATTATTATTAACTATTATTAATAATAATTTATAATTAATAATTATAAATAATTATTATAAATAATTATTATAAATAATTATTATAAATAATTATTAGTTATTATTACTTACTATTACTTTAGTTTAGTTTAATAGTAATTAATAATAAGTAATAATAATTAAAATAACTAATTCTAACTAATTCTAACTAATTCTAACTAATTCTAACTAATTCTAACTAATACTAACTAACAATAACCAATGATTACTAAAACTTAACTAAAATATTATATACTTATTAATTTAGACAACATGTGTTTATAAAATCATTTAATGGCAAAACATTTCTGTTTGAATGCAATGTGTCTAAAGATACGGTCGATAAACTGAAACAACTGATTGCAGACAAACTTGGATTTCTGGTTGAATCTCAACGATTGGTTTTTAATAAAAAAGAATTAAAAGAAGATAAAGTATTATCAGATTATAATATCAAAAACAACGATACGATTTATTTGTTTAAGAAAACGTAATATGTGAATCATCCCTTTAATTTATATTTATTTTTATGGTTTTTTTTAATTAGTTAACTTAAATAATTAAATTATTATATCTGTTTTATTTTGAAACTAAATAAATAACTATATAATAATAATAATAAATAAATAAATAATAATTTTTTCTACTACACAAATAGATTTTTTGAGCAAATGTTTTATTTTATTTTTTATAAAAATATTGTCATTAAAAACAAAAGTTTCTTTACATACACTTTTAATTTCTATTTATGATATATTTATTAAAAAAAAAATTGTAGACAAAAAAAGTATTTTTTCTATTATTATTAATATTAGTATTATTTCATAAAATAATTGCATCTATTAATTGCATATTATTAGTATTAGTATTATTATTATTTTTTTGTAACTTATATATACTGTATATAGAAATAATGTAATCATCAAAATTGAGACATCAATTATGATGACTATATGAGGACTAATGGTAATCCCTATATATCTGGACGGGTGGGCAGGGGGTGGGGGTGGGGGTGGGCTTATAGGTTACTACTGTACGCTATCCTATAACTAAGTTATAAGGTCTACTAATATCAATTCAAATAATTAATTAGTAATTATAATAGTGCTAATTATAATTAGTAAATTAAAATTATATATAAAATCAGGGACAAAATAGGCGGAACTAATATTTTTATTATATCTCAAAAACTAAAAGACCTAGGACAAAGATATTTAATAAACAACTATGGTTTCTTGGAACGTACAAAATGGTGAGACCAAATTTTTTATAAAATTACTAAAATAGAAATGATAAAAATATGTAATATCTCAAAATCTATAATAGATAATGAAAATCTATAAAATGTATACTAAACTAGATAAAAAATAATTTGATACGTGTTTCAGCAATTTTCAAAAAAATAATTAATAAATTAGTATCAATTTTTGAAAGAGAAAAGTAATATATTATTTGTAAAATATTATATTACATTTTTTATATTTAATTAAAGTAGTTTATTTTTTTCTTTCAAAAATTTATAAAAACTGCTGAGACACATGTCAAGTTATATTTTATCTAGTTTATTATACATTTAATAGATTATCATTATCTACTACAGATTTTATGTTATTATATTATTTTGATCATTTCTATCTTAGAAATTTTATAAAAAATTTGGTCACACTATTTTGTAGGTTCCATGAAGCCATAGTATCATATTGAATATCTTTGTCCTAGGTCTTTTAGTTTTTGAGATATAACAAAAATATTAGTTCCGCCTATTTTGTCCCTGATTTTATATATATATATATATATATATGTTTTAATATATCTAAAAATTTTTTAATTAATAAATTTCACGATTTTATTATTATTAATTAATATTAATTATTAACCAATGATGCATCAAATTGAAAATTTAATAAAACATATGGATTTACTACTAGTATATCAAAACTGGTATTTCATTTTAAAATTAACGGAAATTAAACAAATAATAATAAAATTAATTATAAAAATAAAATTTTTATATAGAATAAGACACCAAAAAAAAATTTATAAAAACGTCAACATTTTTTTTACTTATATTATAGTATAGTAGTAATAAAAAATTTTATACTATAAATTTTTTGAAAATAAAAATAATGTCAATAAAATTGACCATGTTAATGATGATGATGACAACCATTATGATGGTTATGGAGTTTACGGTACCAGTAGATTGTGTGAAAGGGTATGTATATTAACGATTATCCTATTATAAACTAATTATTAACTAATAATTAACTAAAATTAGCTATTATTAGCTTTTAATTGCTATAATTAATTTTCAATTAACTATTTTTATGTATTATTAAGTATTATTAACTAAATAATTTACTATTATTAGCTACTATTAACTAACTATTAGCTAACTATTAACTAACTATTAACTAACTATTAATTAACTATTAACTAACTATTAACTAACTATTAACTAACTATTAATTAACTATTAATTAACTATTATTAACTATTATTAACTATTAATTATTATTAACAAACTATTAACTAACTATTAACTAACTATTAATTAACTATTAACTAACTATTAATTAACTATTAACTAACTATTAACTAACTATTAACTAACTATTAACTTACTATTAACTAACTATTAACTAACTATTATTAACTAACTATTAAATAACTATTAACTAACTATTAATTAACTATTAATTAACTATTAATTAACTATTACTAACTATTACTAACTAATAAATTTAACTAAACTAAACAATTATTATTAATATAAATATAGACAATATTTGCACATAAATTTACTAACTGGTGAAAAATATCTGATTGAATGCGATCTGTTTAACGATACAGTTGATGATCTTAAACAACATATTAGAGACATTCATGGATTTGACTTACAATCGCAACGACTGATTAGGAATGGAAAGGAATTAGAAGGCGATAAACAATTAGCCGATTATAATATCAATAATTACGATACACTTTATTTAGTAAAGAAAAACGGTTATTAAGATGCTTTTAATGGGGGGGGGGTTTAGGGGAGGATTCACATATTACGTCCGAACTTGTTGGGGAGTAGGATGGGGTAAGTGTAGGTTAAAAAGTTTGCTATTTTTTAGAATAACTATTTTCGAACATAGGGATGGGAGGGGTTTAAATTAATTTTTTTTACGTAATATGTGAATCACCCCTTAATGAATGTTTGTTTTTAGTTTTTTAATTATTTTTTTAAAATAAAATTATTATATCTTTATATGTTTTTTTTGTTGAAAATTATGTATTTTGTTTTACTGATAATTTTGTTTGTTTGTTTGAAACTAAATAAATAGTAATAATTAATTGAAAAAATTGAAAATTTAATGTTAAGAAAAACTATATATTAATTTTAATATTTGTTAGCAAACAACACAAGTGTATAATTATTATTTTTAATTAATAATTAGAAATTTAAAAAATTAATTAATTAAAAAACAGATTGACTACTTTTTTTAAATTAAATTAATTTAATTAATTTAATTTTAAAATAATTATCATACAGTAGAACATGTAGACAGTACTATAATAGTAAATTTTAACTTTTTAAACTAAAATATTTAAAAAAAATTGTAAGTACTATTATTATTAAATATTTATAAATAAAACTATTATTATTATAGTATTATTAGTATTATTAAATAAATAAAATTTAATTTTTTTAACTAGTACTATTGACTAATTGAAAATTGATCATGGTAATAATGATGATGATGATGATTGAGGTAGTAATGATGGTGTCGTTTATTATGTGGTGTGCACCGGTAGATACTTATGTATGTATAGATTCACCATGTAGTCCAAGTGATTGGAAACCACATGGGAAACAATGGTAGACAAAAAAAATGTAATTAAAATAAAATAACAAATAAATTATGATTTTTTTGTAAAATAAAAATTATCAAATAATTTTAATATCCATAAAAAAAAGTTACAATATATTTATAATTATTATTTTTAAAAAACTATTATTATTTTATTAAATATTAATTAAATTGATATATATTTATATATAATTACAAAAAATAATTATTATAGTAATATAATAGAAATATTTGATAATTTTACAAATAATATACTAATATTTATTAATAATATGTAATGTTATTTTTTTTTAAATGTTTATGTATTTAGTATTATTATTATTATTGTTTTATTATCATAATTAAAGTTATTAATAAAAGTAATTAAAAATATTGTCCATTTATTATGCAAAAAAATATTTATTTATTTGTCAAATTATAAAATAATATACATTTGTTTTATAATTTTTTAAAAAATAACATTTATAATAATTATATAATATATATATATATATATATATATATAATAACAAAATCTAAAAATATTTTTTTGTTTAGGTTAACTAATTAAACAATAAAATCTAAAAAAATAGTAAAAACAAAAAATTAACTTTTGAATATATAATAGTAATACATAGTATCCATTAAATCCATTGCATCAATTTATTGGTTGTTATTTTTTTTGGTGGGTGGGGGCGGGCGGGTGGGTGGCCGTGTATTTATTTAAATAGTATCCCGTTCAAATTTCATGGTAAATATTAGTCTAGCATAATTTCCTATAAATATATATATATATATAGATGAAATAAACAAACATTATTAATTTAGTTAAAATTAAAAAATAGTAGTAATTTTCTTATAATTATTATATAATATAGTAAATGTCTAATAAAAATAATAATAGTAATAATAATAATAGTAATAATAATAATAGTAATAATAATAATAGTAATAATAATAATAGTAATAATAATAATAGTAATAATAATAATAGTAATAATAATAATAATAATAATAATAATAATAATAATAATAGTAATAATAGTAATAATAGTAATAATAATAATAATAATAATAAAAATAATAATAATAATAATAGTAATAATAGTAATAATAGTAATAATAGTAATAATAGTAATAATAATAATAGTAATAATAATAATAGTAATAATAATAATAGTAATAATAATAATATTAATAATAATAATAATAATAGTAATAATAATAATAATAATAGTAATAATAATAATAATAATAATAGTAATAATAATAATAATAATAATAATAATAATAGTAATAATAATAATAGTAATAATAATAATATAATAAACAACTAAAAACCTACCGCTGCTTAGTTTTTCCACTTTTTTATCAATTGTTTTACCGCTAAATTTATAGCCACCAATGGTTTCAATATCAGTGGTAATACCTGCCGATTGGTCACCTTTAGCCCATTCAAAGTCGACATCCTTCATTGAATAGCCATCTAAACCACAATAAAAAATTTAAGATATTTTTATTTTTTGATTTTTTAATTATTTTTTAAAAAAATACGTAAAATTAACAAGTTAAATAATTAACTAATAATTAAATTATTATTAACTGTATACATACATGATTCAATTTCAATTGGACAAACTAGTGATGTGTTTTCAAGTAAGCACCGGGAGGTAACTTGAAATCTGTAATATAATATATAGATTTTTTTAATATATTAATAATATAAAACATATTTAGTTAGCAAACAAACAAGTTTTACTTAAAAATAAAGTAATAAATATTTAATTTAGATTTAATTAATAAGATAATTGTTTATGGGGGTGGCTGGGTGGTGGGGTAGGGTGTTTTATCAACAATAGACGTCCATCCCACCCACCTACCCCCAAAATAATTTTCTTATTAATTAAATCTAAAAATATTATTTTTTTTAAACATATATATAATATATAAAGTGTATGTAATCCAAAATAAATAAATATATTTTTTTAGATTAGCACCTACCACACCACACCCTCCCCCTCAATCTAACCACCCATTTATAAAATTTGTTTAGAGGGTGGGGTGGGATAGGAGGCTGTCCTCCATAATATGGATAAGCATTAAGGATTTTAATCAAACTATAACATACTTATGAAATAATGTGTGTATGTGTGTGTTTAGGAGTGGGGTGGGTGTGGGTGTGGGTGTGGGTGTGGTAAGGGTAGGGGTGGGGTGGGAATCTGGATAAGCATTAGATACTATATTCTACATACTTGTGACTGATAAACACTGTGCCATTGGATTCAATCATTGCAAACGAAGTGGGAGTCGGTATCGAAACAGTGGTAATCGAGTCGGCATTCGGTAGGAAAGTGTCCGGAATCCACACCCGATCGATAAACGATTGACTGCCGACCACTTTGACCGACGGATACGAGTGCTGTAGACGAGGATCTGACCATTTTTGACGGAAATACATGTTTGTTGTTACCGACTGTTAGTAATAATAATAGAGAAAAATAATTATTAATACAAATAATAATTTAAAAATTAATTTCTGTAATAAACAAAACTTATATACAAATAATATATTGTAATATTTTTAAAAAAAAATTAATTTAAATTATTAATTAATTAATTAACAAAAAAAACAAAAAATATATTTTAATATATATAAAATTAATTAAAAATTATTAATTAATTAGCAAATAAATGTAATTACTTTATCAATTGGATTGATTTTACTGCTAATAACATACAAAGTGATGCCAACATTGACCGATGAATTTTCTATAATTAAAAAAATTGATAAATATTTTTAAAAAATAAAAAATTAAATTTAATTAAATATAAATAATAAATTTTTTGTGGCTATAATTACGGCCTAATTTCGGATTAATATCTTTGTCGTAGACATTGGGATCGCTTTTAGCCTTAAACTCTTTGACAGCCCGTATGGCATCACTAAGTGATGATAAATATTTAAAAAAAATTGAAAAAATTAAATTTCAAACAAAAAATAATTATATAATAAAATAATTTAATACTTTTCCGAAAAGATTTGTTGTGTACAACAAATTAGTAAAACAATTGAAATTATTTTATAACTCATTATTTATTATTAATTTTGTCGATTGATTTTTTTTTGAATTGATTTACAGTAGTATTGAAATATAAAACTTATTATCAAAGAAATATTATAAAATTATTATAAAAATATTTGCTATTTATATACAAAATTTTTTTTGTTATTGTGTTATTTGTTAAATGTTTTTTAACTATTAATAAAAATATTTATCTAAATTAAATTAAATAACTAATTTAAAAAAAATCGTATGATATTTTATGATAATAATAAATAAAATTATTTTTAATCAAAATCTATTTATTTAAATCATAGTAAATATTTTTTGATTAAATTTTTATTTTTTATAAAATGCTTATAAATTCAATTAAATATATTTATTTCCAAAAATATTAAATTCAATTGATATTGCATTTAATTATGTAATTTATTTATTAATAGATATAAATATAAAATAGTTTTAAAATTATTATCAATTGATATTAATGTAATATTTTTTTTATATAAATAAATTTTATTGTTAGTACACTTAATGCACTTGAAATTTAAACTAATCTTATAATAATATTTATTATTATTATTATTATTATTGCTTATAAATTTTACAGTATATGTATATCTATTAATATTTTTTAATCAGTTTATTTATGTAATTTATTTTTAAATAAAGTTTTTTTTAAAAAAAAATTATGTTTTTGTATACATTATTTTTATTATCATAAAAAATTATATTAGTTTATTATTTGTAAATATTAATATCTCATAATAATTTTATATTAATATTATTGACACTAAGATTATCATTATTTTTATTGTACATACAATAATTTAATATGATTTTTTTTTAAAATTTGTGCCTAGTTTAGATTTTATTCAATCAATATTAAGTATTATTATTATATTTAAAAAAAAATAAAAATATAAAACTGCAAAATCTATCTAAATTACAATAAAAATATTTATAATATAAAAAAACTAATAATATTTAATAATAATAAAACATGTTTTAAGATTATTCAATAAATTTATTATTGATATAATAATACCTAAAATAATATATTATTTTTTGTTTTCTAATAAACTTATAAAACTTAAATTATAATTTTAGTTAATGTTAATTATTATATAAAGTAGTAAAAATTAAAAAAAAATATAAAATTTGTAATTTGATTTATTAATTGTTTTTTATTGTTGTTTACAATATTTAATAAACATTTTAAAATTGTATAAAAAAATTATTTAGTTTATAATTATATAAAAATAAAAATAGTTAACTTTATTTATTTATTTATTTTTTAAAAATTCAAAACATAAAATTACATACAAGTTAACTATTTATTTTTTTATTTTACTTAATTTTTTAATTAATAATATTGACAATTATAAATAATAATAAAATAATACAATTGTTGATTATTTTATTTTAATTTAATTGATATTTATTTAAATAGTATCCCGTTCAAATTTCATAGTCATTACTAGTCCTGTATAATTGCCTATAAAGTTGAAAATTAGAAAACAATTAATTATTATTATTATTATTATTATAATTTAATTAAACTATTTTGGCTATAAAATTTGTAGGCAAACACACACACATACCGGTGCTGAGATTTTCCACTTTTCTAACATAATCAGTGCTATTTGTGTTAAGTTTGTAGCCATCAATAGCCCAGATATTATTTGTTGAGATACCTGACCCTTGGCTACCGATACCCCAATCATAGTCAATGTCGTTCATTGAATGGCCATCTGATAATTTTTTTAAAAAAATAATTTTTTAATAATTAAGTAATTAATTAAGTTATTATTATTATTATTATAATTAAAATATTTGATACATACATGACTCTATCTCAATGGGACAAACTAGTGAACTGTTATCCATTGAGCACCGGGTCATCAATTTGAGTCTAAGTTAATTTTTTTGTGTGTATTATTATTATTATTATTATTATTATAATTAAAATTAAATATTTTTTTATTATTAGTTAGACACTAGAGTGCGGGTAGTTATGGGTATCAATAATACATGTATTGAATATAATAATAGGGAAAGTAATGATTGGGATCAATATATTTGGCACAAAAAAGTATWGCTTAACTMTCTCTCTCTCTCTYTCTCTCTCTCTCTCTCTCGCTCTCTCTCTCTCTCTTTCACTCTCTCTCTCTCTCTCTCTCTCTCTCTCTCTCTCTCTCTCTCTCTCTCTCTCTCTCTCTCTCTCTCTCTCTCTCTCTCTCTCTCTCTCTCTCTCTCTCTCTCAGTCTCTCTCTCTTTCATTGTCTCTCTCTCTTTCATTCTCTCTCTCTCTCTTTCATTGTCTCTCTCTCTCTCTCTCTCTCTCCAGAATAGTCGTCCAAAAAAATTTGTAGTTTTTTTACAGTATATGTGATCCAAATTATATTGAAGTCCAACCCTCTCCCCCATTCCCTCCCTCCCCCACACACACACACACTTGTTTAGTTTTATCGAAATTTAGTTGTGTGTGTGGGGGGTAGGGGGACGTCTAATATGGACGACACACATACTGTACATACTTATGACTGATAAGGACTGTGCCGTTTGAATCAATCCGTGCAAAAGCGGTCGGTTTGGGTACCGAAACACTGGACACGGAGTCGGCATTCGATATAAACGTGTCCGGAGTCCATATACGGTCGACAAACGATTGACTGCCGACCACTTTGATATCGGGATACGAGTGCCGTAGACGCGGGTCTGACCACGATTGACGAAAATACATGTTTGTTGTTACCGACTGTTTGTAATAATAATAGTGAAAATAAATTATTAATAATTTAATTAAATTAATTTCTGTAATAAACAAAACATATATACAAAAAATATATTGTAATTAATTAATTAGCAAAAAAATTAAATACTTTATCAATTGGATTGATTTTACTGCTAATAACATACATAATAATAATAATTTATAAAAAAAATTACTATAATATTGATTTAAATTATTTTTAATTATAATTAATTATATGTATAATTATGAATCAAAAAATTTTTTTTTTAATTTACTTTATCCTTTGGATTGATTTTATAGTTAATTATATACAAAGTGATGCCAACATTGACCGATGAATTATCTATAAAAAAAATTTTATATAAAAAAATTAAAAATGTATTAAAAAAAATTATAATTAGATATTTAATTGGAAATTATTATTATTTTGCGGTTATAATTACGGCCTAATTTCGGATTAATATCTTTGTCGTAGAGATTGGGATTGCTTTTAGCTTTAAACTCTATGACAGCCCGTATGGCATCACTAGTGATGATAAAAAATTTAAAAAAAAATTGATAAAAATAAATAAAATTATAAATAATTTAAAAAAAACTAAATTCTAATTTTCAAACAAAAAATAATTAATACTTTTCCGAAAATATTTGTTGTATACAACAAATTAGTAGAAAAATTGAAATGATTTTATTACTCATTGTTATTTATACTGTATTTAGTTTTGTCGATAAAATTATATATTAATTATAATATAAACTGTACTTTTAATTAACTTTTATTTAAAAAATTATATATATATTAAAAATATTCACAATAGTATAATATTATTATTATTACTATGAAAAATATTTGCCATTTATATACTAAATTATTACTAAATTTTTGTTGTTGTTTTTGTTAAATGTTAAAAACTATTAAAAATATTTATTTAATTCAAATAAATTTATTATTGTAATTAAAATAAAATCGTAAAATATTTTATGATAACAAATAATAATTATTATTATTTAATCGTAAAGATATTTATTTAAATCGTAGTTAAATTTTTATTATTTATTATATTTTTAATTGTTTATGAATAAAATAAAATATATTTATTTTTCAATATAAATACTGGAAATATATATATTTTATTTCGGTATTATATTTAATTATATAAATATAAAAAAATAGTTTATTACTATTACTATTAATTGAAATTAATTAACTTTATTTTTAATGAATACAATTTATTGTTAGTATAATTAATCAGGGTTAATTTAAAATTTAATTAAACTTAAAATATGTATTGTTGTTGTAATGCAGTATTATATTTATTATATATAATATTTTTAAATAAATTTTACTGTATTTTTTGTTACTATTATCATTTTATCAGTTAATTTATGTAATTTTAATTTTGTTTTGTATACAATATTTTTTTTTGATATCATAAAAATTATAATTTGATGATTAGTATTATTTAATAAACGCAATAATTTTTTATATACTGTAAATATTGTTACTATAAAGCTATTAAATTTTATATTTATTTATATAATTATTTATATAATTATTTATATAATTATTTGTTGTTTAGTATTCTGTTTAGTTTATAATATTTTTAAAAACATTTACTATTTTAATGTATTAATTATTATACAACATTATTAAAATGCAAAATTTTATTAAAATTTTATTTTTATAATTAAAAAAATAATTAATTAATGTAGTTTTATCAATATTTAATTATAAGATAAAAATTACATAAAACTAAAACAAGTATTTTTTAGAAAATTTTAATTTATTAAAATTAATTGAATATAATAATGATAATAATAATTGCCATAAAATCCATGTATATATTAACTTGGTTATTTTAGTATTACTTTTTTAAAAAAATTTGTTAAACAGTATCCGGGTCAAATGTCATAGTTACTACTAGTTTAGCAAAATTGCCTATATAAAAAAAATAAAACAAAAATAAATTATTAAAAACTATATATTTTTTAATTACATAATAAATATTAATAATATATTAATTATTGAATAATTTAATAACAAAAAAATAATATTAATATTCAATAAATCAATAGAATTTTATTTAAAATTCTATTATTATTATTAAAAACTAAATAAATATTTATTTATTATTAAATTAATTTATTAATTATTAAATAATTTAATAGCAAAAAAATTAATAGTAATATTTAATAAAACAATAAATTCTATTATTATTATTAGTATTATTATTATTATTAAAAAATAATAATATCTATTATATATAAATATATATTATACTACTAATGTTATTAATTTTTTTTTAAATACTAGATAAATATTTTTTTTATAAACATACCGGTGCTTAGTTTTCGGACAGTCCTAATGCTGGCAATGTTTCTGAATGTGTAGCCATCAATGCTGACCTGAGGATTGGACACACTTACCGATCGTCTACTTCTATCCCAACGATAGTCCAAATCATTAACATTATAGCCATCTATTAATATAAATATATAAATTAATTTTATTTTAATTAATTAATTATTATTATTAATATTGGTTTAAACATACATGACTCAATTTCAATTGGACAAACTAGTCTACTATCATCCTCTACATAGCACCGGGTGGTCGGTTCGAGTCTATATATAGAAAACAAAAAATTATTTATTTTTTACTTATAAACTTATAATAAACAACAAACTTATGGCTTATACGGATCGTGCCGTTTGAATCAATGGTAACAAAAGTGGTCGGTTTGGGCACCGATACTGTGGACAGTTGGTTGGAATCGGCATTTGAGAAAAACGTGTCCGGAATCCATATACGATCGATAAACGGCTGACTGCCGACCACTTTGATGCCCGGATACGAGTGCCCGAGCCGCGGGTCGGTCCAAGTTTGACGGAAATACATGTATGTCTTTACCGACTGATTGTTTGTTTTTATATTAAAAAAAATATTATTTAATAAAATTTTATATAATTTTTTTAGTTTAAAAAAATATATAAATAAAAATGTTTCATTACTTTATCATTAGCATTGATTTTTCGGTTAATTATATGCAATGATATGATAACATTAACCGATGAATTTTCTATATAGTAATGTATGTAAATATTTTTAAAAAAATTAAATTAAATTAATTAATTAATTAATAATTATTATTAATATGCGGTTAAATTACGGCCTAATTTCGGACTAATATCTTTGTCGTAGACGTTAGGATTGGTTTTAGTTTTAAACTCATTGACAGCCCGTATGGCATCACTAAGTGATTAATGAAAATAATTATATTTTTTTAAAAAAATTAATAAAAATTAAAAATAAATTAATTAATTAATACTTTTCCGTAACGATTTGTTGTATACAATAAATAAGTACAACAAATACAATGGTTTTATAACTCATTATAATTTAATTAAAAAATAATTTTTATTATTATATATTTTTTTAAAATTATTCACAATAGTTATGTAAGAGATATATAAAGTATTTTTGAATTTTAAAAAATGCTATTTATATACAAAATTTTATACATGTTTTATAACGATTGTTATTTTTAAATGTCTAAAATATATTTATTTAAAAAATTGAAATCAATTTATTAATTCAAAAAAAAAATAAAATCTTATGATATTTTTTGATTACAACAAAATATTTTAAATTATTAATCAAAATATATTTATTAAAATTCATAGTAAATATTTTGCTATACTTTTATCAAATTGTTTATTGAATTAAATAGAAATATATTTTAATAATAATTATTTACAATAACAGCAAAATTTTAATCAATTGGTATTTCATTTAATTATGTAATTTATATTATCAAATAAAAATCAAGTTTATTGATATAAATTAATATAAATTTTTTTAAAAATTTTATAAATACAGTTTATTGTTGCTTAATATATTACACTTATATTTATCTAATAATAATAATATATATATATTTTATATAACAATTTTTTAATCAGTTAGTAGTAAAAGTTAATTTAAAGTATTTTTATTGATTTATATTTAATTACTATTATGTTTTAGATTTTTTTAATTTTCTATATTTTGTTTTTATTTTATTAGAAAATAGTTTTATATAATTTTTTTTAATAAAAATTGTTGTTAAAATAAACAAAAATTAACCAAACTAAATTAATATAAAAAAATTTTAGTCAAGTAGTTGTTAAAATAAAAATATTTATTTTTTATTAAATTACAATTACTAGATGTCGTAACTGGAAAATAAATATATATTAATTTCTAAAAATTATTTTTAAATAAAAATTTAGAATTGCAATAATAATAATTATAATGTTTAATCAAGGTAAAATTTGATTAAATTATTTAAAGTTTAATTAGTATATATATATATATATATATATATATATATATATATATATACAGTACAATACAAACCATACTATACTAATCAATGTATTAAATACTAAGATAATAATGACCTAATAGTTAGACATTGATTTTGCAAACTAATGTGAAGGACAGACATATAAACATAGAGAGAGAGAGAGAGAGAGAGAGAGAGAGAGAGAGAGAGAGAGAGAGAGAGAGAGAGAGAGAGAGAGTTTTAGGAAATTTTTATGATTTCAAGTTTATTTTATTACAACTTTTTTGGAGTTTTTTTTTGAGAGACAAAATGTATTATAAATTATAATAAATAAATATTAAGTAATAATAATAATAATAATAATAATAAATATATAATAACTAAAATGTCTGTCTCGTATGTAAATATGTCTATAAAAATAATAATAATAATAATAATACTAAAAATAATAATAATAATACTAAAAATAATAATAAAATACTATACACTGTAGTAGTAGTAGTAGTAGTAGTAGTAGTAGTAGTAGTAGTAGTAGTAGTAGTAGTAGTAACTATTGAAACTTTTTTTTAATAAATATTATATTGAAAGTTTGAAAACATTTTTAGTGATTGTAAAATAACTTTGGCATATATTATAAATATAAATTATATATATATATATATATATTAAATAATACATAGATACAAATGTATATATTTTTATAGAAAATTATTGTAATAATAATAATAATAATTGGTATCGAAAAGTATATAATTAATGTTATTAATAAAAAAAAATATTATTAAATAATAGAAATCTAGTATTTTTTAATAATTTAAAAATACTATATATATTATATATAATGTATATATGATATCATATTTACTATATATATATAAATAACTTTTAATTGTATTATCAAAAAAATGATTGTTATTTATTTCAAAAATTATTGGCAACAATATATAAATATATATAAATTTACTATTAGTTTACTATTTAATAATAATTAGCTAATAATTTTTTTTGGCTAATTGTTGTTAAATTTTTTTTAGTTTTAAAAAACATGTTGCAATATATTTTATTTTTATTTATTTTTTATTGAGTTAAACTATATAAAGTTATTTTAGTTTAGTTAATAAACTAGTAGTAAATAAAATAAGTAAATAATATTTATTTTTTTATACAAAAATAAACTAATCAAGGCTGTTTTGGATTATAATATTTAGGACAATCAATAAAATTAATTTTTACATACTGTATATAACTATTTATTTTTTTTATAATTTGGGACATAATTATATTGTAAACATTTATAATTATTATTATTTATATTTATAAATTATATATATATATATATATATATATGTTTATGCTAGTTTAAAACATTATATAATTTTTTGTTTTATTTATTTTAATATTAACAATTTTGTTTGATTTTAAATTTTTAAGTTAATTTACAGTTTATTTATTTAGTGGGCGTTACAAATGATTGTGATTACACACACACACACACACACACACACACACACACACACACTCACCCATTAGTATAGAAATAAATCAATTTTTAAAAATTATTTTTTAATAATTTTTAACTAAAAAATTTTTCCACAAAAAAATATAAATTTATTATTAATATTATATATTGAAAATAATTTTCTGCTAATTTAAACGCCTGATTGTTACTATAGTTTAAGTTTATACAAAATATTATTATTATTATTAATAGCGTAAAAAAATTATACTATTAATACATTTAGAAAATAATATAACAATAATACTAATATATAATATATATATATAAATTAAAATCTGTAATATTAGACAATTATCACGATTAACAATAAATTAAATTAAATTAATACTATTTAAACTGTCTATTTAATAGTTATTATTATTATATACATAATATACATGTATATATTGTATATATTGTTGTGAAACTATTATATATATATATGTAATTAATAGGATCTCAATGCTAAATGAGCCGCAATAGTGGTTGTGCTGGTAGTAGTGATGTGCAGTTTGTATTATTATTAGCACTGGTAGTCATAAAATATATTATATTAGTTGACGGAGGGGAAGGCCATATGAAAAAATCAAATCAAAATTAGAAATATTAATAAATACAGTAAATATTACATACATTTTTTGTGTACTACTGTATAATATAGAAGGAAAAAATTTAGTTTAGTTTAGGTCTATCTCTCTCTCTCTCTCTCTCTCTCTCTCTCTCTCTCTCTCTCTCTCTCTCTCTCTCTCTCTCTCTCTCTCTTATATAGTGAATATATGATATAATATATGTAATACCAGTCTCTCTCTCTCTCTCTCACCATATGTACTGCCAGTCTATTAGCTCTCTCTCTCTCTCTCTCTCTCTCTCTCTCTCTCTCTCTCTCTCTCTCTCTCTCTCTCTCTCTCTCTCTCTCTCTCTCTCTCTGTCTGTCTCTCTCTCTCACCATATGTAATGCCAGTCTATTAGCTCTCTCTCTCTCTCTCTCTCTCTCTCTCTCTCTCTCTTATATAGTGAATATATGATATAATATATGTAATACCAGTCTCTCTCTCTCTCTCTCACCATATGTACTGCCAGTCTATTAGCTCTCTCTCTCTCTCTCTCTCTCTCTCTCTCTCTCTCTCTCTCTCTCTCTCTCTCTCTCTCTTATATAGTGAATATATGATATAATATATGTAATACCAGTCTCTCTCTCTCTCTCTCTCACCATATGTACTGCCAGTCTATTAGCTCTCTCTCTCTCTCTCTCTCTCTCTCTCTCTCTCTCTCTCTCTCTCTCTCTCTCTCTCTCTCTCTCTCTCTCTCTCTCTCTCTCTCCATATGTAATACCAGTCTATTTTGCTGATGATATATATACAGTATATACAGTACACTACACTACTACTACTACTATACGTATAGTTTATTATTATTATTATTTTGTAAAAATGTTTTTTACTGCAAAAAAAATAATAAAACATAGGGTATGACTAATAACTTGATCGACTAGTTTTGTTGGTGTATATACTGTACATGTGATGAAATCATAGGCACCTACCTATCAAACATCATACATACATACAGTGTGATCATACAGTATAGTAAACAACAAGTTTTTTTTATGTGTGTGTGTGTGTGTTGTGAATATAATTTTATTTAACTATAATAATAATAATAATAATAGTAATACTCATGACTTTTTATTTGTGAATAAAATTGAGACAATTTATATATAAATATATATAATAAACAATATTTTTTTTTGGTTGCAAATTATATGTGAAATTTTCATATAAAACTAATTTTTTTTTAATTATTATTATTTTTTATTATTTTGATATATACAGTAATATATTATAAATTAAATATACGCTGTTTTTTTTGTCTATCAATAATAATAATAATATATTTAAAGTTTTTTGACTATTTTTATTTGTCTACTACTACTACTACTACTACTACTACTACTACTACTACTACTACTACTACTACTACTACTACTGTATATAACTTATAATTTATAGTTTAAATAAGTTATTGGATTTTGAAATTTATTGAAATTTTTGTTTTGTATTGATTTTTCTGTAGTGATAATCAACAACAAAAAGTTTATCAAATGATTTGAAATATATTTATATATATTTGATATTTATTTTATATATCCACTAAAAGTTTAATAATAATGTTGTGTTTGCTATGAATATATTTTTACTAAAACTACTACTACTATGACTGACTATTAATTAATTAATTCAATGATATTATATATTTTTTAAAAGTGTGAAATATATATAAAGTTTATACTACTTTATTATATATGCATATAATTGATATAAAGTTTTTTTAATAAATTTATATAATTAATACAATATAATCCAATTGTATTATAAGTTGTTTCTCATTGTTTTACTGTTCAAACAATTAATTTAATTTAAATTAATTTTATTTTTAAAAAATGGGTGAAAAAAGTTTTACATATAAGACAATCAAATATCTATTGATTACAAAAATCTGTATCGGAATAGTGTTTTCATTTATACTACTGTTCCTATTTGTTGTGATGACTGCCCATAATTCAACCGATGGCCGTACACAGGGTATCTCAGCCCAGGACACACTACTCTATGATCATCCCGATGCCAAAACTATGGACAGTAAGCTATAGCTTATATATATATATTATATATATATATATATTAAAAATTACGATTATTTAGTATTATTTAGTATTTTTTTTTTTAAAAAAATAACAATATATTTAAGTTTTATTTAATTTAATTAAATATAAAACTATATATATATATATATTTTTTATTTTTAAAAAAAAATTTAGTTTAGTTTACTGGTATTTAAAAAAAATACTAAATAATAATATATTTTAATTTTTAGCTAATTTAATTAATTAAATATAAAACTATATATATATATATTTTTATTTTATTTAAAAAATACTATTAGTTTATTTTACTGGTATTTTTTTTAAATATATCTATCAATAGATAATATAATATATATGGTGTTATATAACAGTGATAACTGTGTGATAATATTGATAAAAAACATATACTCTATATATATTAAATGATAAAATAATTTTTATCTATAATTTTTTATCGAAACTTATTTTAGTTTATTAATATTTTTATTATTTTGTTGCTTATTAATGATTTACAATATATATACAGTATTTTTATTATATAATATTATATAAGATATATTAGATATCATAACATATAAGACTAGATTACTGTTTAAAATATAAATGAAAAATTAATAGATATATACAGTATTTTCAACATATAATGATGATTTAGCATAATAAAAATATTAAGTGTTTTTATTAAAAAATATATACCGTAATTAGTTTTAGTTGTAATAATAATAATAATAAAATTGCAAAAAATAGTGTTGTAATAGATAAACACATCTTTATTAATAAAAAAATAAAATAAAAAACATTATTATTATTAATTTATAGTATTGTTTAAATTTAGGTGAATGTATGCATGTTTAGCTAATTCACAATACAATACGTTTTTTTATATTGATTTTTATGTCATAATTTATAAAACAATATTAACAGTAAATAAGGCAAAACACATACACACATACACATACACATACACATACACATACACATACACATACACATACACATACACATACACATACACATACACATACACATACATACAGTATACATACAAACAATTTGCTGGTTGTTTTATTGAACTTTTAAAAACAAAAAAAAATATTTGCTATGCATTTAATGTTTAAATATATTATTGAAAATACAGTGTACATAGTGTTCAAAAAATTATATATAATTTTATTTTATAGTTTAGTTAAATAATTACAACAACAAATAAAAGTTAGTTTTTATATTTAATGGTAAATTAATGTCAACTAAAAATTTGTTTGTTTTATTTGTTTGTTTGTGTTTGTACTCTACCTGTATGTATGAATTAAATTCAATGGTTATGGTTATGATTGTTAAATATTAGTTTAAATTTTTAATAATAACAAAAATAAAAATAATAATTTTTTATTTTATTTCTTTTAAGAATAGAAATCAAAAATTTTTACCCAAAAAAAACAATATATAAAATAATACTTAATTTTCTACATTATCTCTCTCTCTCTCTCTCTCTCTCTCTCTCTCTCTCTCTCTCTCTCTCTCTCTCTCTCTCTCTCTCTCTCTCAATGATAATGCATAAAACAATTGAATATTAAATTAAATGACATAATAATAATAATACTATTATATAAAGAAAACAAAAAAATTGGTGAAATGTCTTATTTATTGTTTTGTGTTTTTTTATATACAATTTCCTTATAAAATACATTCAAAATAAAAACTTTCATCAATTAAATTACAGGTCTATTAACTCATCATTCATTTACCTGTACTTTATATTTACAATACTTTATATAATAATATATTTTATGACATTAATAGTTAAAAAAAGTTAATTTTTTTAATATATAATACTATTATATTATAAAAATTACATTATTGTTGTCTAAAAAATAATGATATATTACTTGAGTTTTTTTAAATTTCACTTTTAAATACAGTAATAATAATAATAATATTGTATTCATTAGTAATCAATAGGCTATTGAAATGGAAAAAAATAAATTATTTATTTATTTAATATATTATAGATTTTAATTAATATTTTTGTTTTTTGTTGGTATAAATATATTTATTTAATAATTTGTTGAAATGTTTATTTTCTTTATAATAAGTTAATATCAAATAATAATAATCATAATAATAAAATGCTTTTTCATAGACAATAAATAAATATCATATGATATATATATATATATATATATATATATTAATACTGTATATAATTTTCAATAGCTTTTTGTTGCTATTTATATATTTATATATCAATATATATATATATAATATTTTATTTACAATTAGTCATTCATAGAGTCATTATTTTTTTAACAATAACTTTTGTGATCCTTAAACTTGTTTTTTATTATTGTATTATTTATTATATTATATTTAGACTAATAATAATAATAATAATAATAATTATTATTATTATTATTATTAATACTATTAACAATCCATTAGCTAACTATAATTATCTATAAATAATTTTTTTTAAAAGTTATTTTTAAATATGTATTAATTTAATTTTTATTATAACACAATTATACTAAAAAAATTAAAAAATAATTAAATAATATTTTTATGAACTAGTTATAGGATTCATTTAAATGACTCATAAAATTTATATTTAATTTAAATAATAATTTTTTTGTTTGAGTATATTTCAAATAAATTTAATTATGAGACAATAGTTTTATTTTATAAATATATTTAATTTTATTAAAAATACAAGTTTTTTTAAAAAATATTATAATTAATTAATGTATTAGTCATATATAAAATGTGTTGAAAATTTATAAAAATAAAAAACTAAATAACTATATATTTTAACACCCATTGCGTGAGTTTAAACAAAAAATAAATAAATAAATTTACACTATTTATATACAGTATATATATTTAATGATATATTTATATATATTAAAAGTTATAATTTATGAAACTATTATTTTATTTTATGTTTAAAATAATTATATATATTATTATTTTAGACTACTATTATTTTCTTTAAAAAAATATAAAAAAATTGTTAAAACTAGTTTTTTATTTGATGACTAATTTTTTCGTTGTCTACACACAAAATAAAATAATAAAAATATTAAACTATATTAAAGGTGTTTATTATGTATATATATATATATATATATACATTGTATATCTTATTTTGTTTTATTATTATTTAGTTGCACTCATTTTTATGAACAATATATAATTTATATTTTTTTGAGATTTTAAATTTTGTTAAAATTTTTATTATTATTATTATATAAATATATTTATCATTTCAATTTTTTTATGTGTGTAAACAAAATAGATTATTACAGTTATTATCAAACAATATATATATTTCAATATATCTTTATATATATATCTTATTGAAACACAAAAAAATCAAAATATAATATATAGTATTCATAAAATTATGTTATCAATAAAATTTTAGTTTTTTTGTTGTGAAATATATAATATATACATACAGTATATAACCAAACAAACAAAAAATTGTTGTTTATTTTACTAAAAAAAATTTACTGCAATTATGTTTTAAATGTTTGTTTTTTATTATTTTTTAAAACTTATTTTCTTTATTTGGTACTGACATTGAAATTTCCAATAAAAATCAATAAAAAATATTTATTTATTTTTCTTACTATATATATGTATACATATATGTATATATATATATATATAATAAATAGGTGTACTGTATATATGATAAATAAAAATAAGGTCTTTAACCGCATATGGAGTTTAAAAAAATAAATAAAACAAAAATTTTTAGATTTTAAAGGTTAAGTTTTTTACCAAAATACAAAAAATAATAATTATTATTATTATAAATAAAATTAAAACTATAAAACTTGAGCAAAAATAAAATTAGGTTTATGGGAAAGTTATAGTTAATTTTTTATTATATATTTAAACTATTAAAAAAAATATTATTTAATTTAAGTTATTTTTTAACATAACATTTACATAATTAGTTAAAAATTTAATTTAAATTATCTCATATTTTTTGTTACAAAAAAATGTCATTAAAAAAATAATATCAGTAATTATTAAATATGTTAATTTAAATTAAATATTTTTGTAATTATATTATAAATTAAGATTACTAGTGCAACAAAATATAGTTCAATTAAATTAAATAAAATTAAATGACTAATAAAATACTTTTAATTTACTAATTATAATAATAATAATATTAATAAATTATACATATATTATATTTTATTAAAACTATTATTATTATTATTAAAATAATTATTTCTAAAAAAATAAATAAATAATATGAAATAATATTATTTGTGCATTTATAAATTATAAAATTATAAAAGCAAATTTCAATACAATTACCGGTAATATAAATAATAATTATAAGTATTAGTAATTAAATATTAATATTAATTTTTTTATAATTATATTATATGTTAGAAAAAATTAAAATTAATATTTAATTACTAATACTTATTAATACTTATTATTTATATTACCGATAATTGTATTGAAAATTGTTTTTTTATTGATTATAAATTAATTAATTAATTATTATTTCTAGAGTCAATGATAGGTTTAATTAATATTTTTTTAAAAAATTATTTATTTTAATTTCTAGAGTCAATGATGGGTATAGTCGTGGCCTTTATAACCCTTGAAATTATCATCCAAATCATCGGACTGGTAGGCGTAGTCCGGGCCAACATTATCCTCCTATTGATCTTCGGTATACTGATCTCATTGGGCGCCCTCTTCGAGTTTGTGGCCATTTTCACCCACGACGGCAACGCCCTGTTTCTCATATACTTTACCTTCCTATCCGTACTAGTCTTTGTCTACATTTATTTGGTCCGCACTGAGCGCCAACAGCTACCCCGTGTCCACTATATACCGGCACCGACTAATCCCTATCATTATAGCTACTTTCCTCAGCCAAACACCAACAATAATCAGCGATTGTTATTCAAAGATAATGTCGATATCTGAGAGGACAGTTAGCTAGCTATGTGTCTATATAAATGTGCGGTCAATGATAATGATTGAGACAATCACCAGGAAATACATGTTTTTTTGTTGATAATTATTATTAATACAGAAAAAAATACATAATTTTTTACATAATATATATATATATATTTTATATATAGAATATATTGTATATAATAATTTAATTATTATTATTATGTAGTCTATGAGTGCTATCATTGACTTAATTTTATTTTATTTTTTAATTTTTTTTTTGTATATTAATAGACAAGAGTTACTGTATATGACATTTATTTTTTTTTGTTGAAAAATAATAATAATAATTGTGTGAATTTATTAATTATTATTTTTTTATATACTTTTTTTGTGTAGATTTTTTTTCTTAATTTATGAATATTTAAAAAAAAAAATTATTATTATTATTATTATTATCATTCATCATTATTAAAATCTAGTAGTAATTATAATTATCTTATATTATTATTATTAAGTTATTGTTATTTACTAAAATTAGTTTTTTTTTAAAAGTGCTAATTTTTATTGTATTGTTTATATAATATAAGAGATTTTTTAAAAATAAATAAATAAATATTTTTATTATAATTAATTAATTTGTTAATTAAATAAAATAAGTGTAAATTATAAAATTAAATTAGCTAAATAAAATGTACACTAAATTAAATAAAGTTTAGTAAATATTTATTTAAAAAATTGATATATTTTATTTTTTTTAAAATTATGTACATTAAAAAATATTATGTGATATTTTCAACAACAAAAAAACTATAATTAATTAATTAAAATATCATTTTTTGATAATAATAATCAAAAAAAATAAATAATAATAATAGTTTGCATTAAAAATAAATACTCTATTAATAATAATAAAACAAAACAATAAAAAAAGTTATTACCGTTTTTTTGCCAATAGTATACAGTCATAAAAAACAAAAATCATAAAAATTAATTTTAATGCAAACATATTATTATTATTTGTTTAGTGTAAGATATTATCGGTATTATAATCACTACAATAATAGTAATAATTAATTTATTGGGAAAAAAATATACATTTAATTATAATTATTATTATTATTATATGTTTTAGCGATACAACACTTTCAGAGGATATCCTTCATTACAGGGTATATATGGCGATCGCATAGCCATAAAATCCCAGCGATTATTATTGTCGGCCACTGTTTGGGTGGTTGGTGTCGACCCCTCCCTACCAGTGCTGGTTTGGTGGGTATTGTAGTTGTTGTTTTTGCGATCATTGAAATTATTATTATTATTATTAATAGATTTCTGTATGACATCCCATGTCGTGAATCTACTGTTCCCAATGTTTTCCATCAATTGATCTGTTTTTTTAATATTAGAAAAATAGTTTTTTAAAAAAAAAAACTTTTACTAAATAGAAACAGTAAAGTAATAAAATAGATATCACTTTAATTAATTAATTTTTTTTGGTTGTTATTTATTATTTATAAAAATTTATAAAATAAATAATAATAATTATAGAAAAATAGTTAATAAAACTCTTACTAAAAATAAAACAGTAAAGTAATAAAATTGATATCATTTTTATTTATTTTTTGTTTGTTTGTTATATAAAAAACATTATTTAAAGTTTATTATTATTACTAATACTATTAATATACTTAAATTTTTAACTATTTTTTTTTTTTAAATAGTAATAATAATTATAGAAAACTAGTTAATAAAACTCTTACTAAAAATAAAACAGTAAAGTAATAAAATAGATATCACTTTTATTTATTTATTATTTTTTGTTTTTTTGTTATAAAAAAACATTATTTAAAGTTTACTATTATTACTAATATTTTTTTAAAAAATAAATAAATAAATAAATAATTACGTGTTTCGCATGAATTGCACGATTGTTTGTGACATTTCTTGCAAAACGATTTTTGCTGATATTTTTGCCGATAATTCATAACTTTTTTTGTTTGTTTGGCCACAAATTGTTATCAAATTTTATTTTCTTATTATTTGTTTGTTTGGTTTGATTATCACTTTTGAGATGAAAATATTGTATATAATATCACCACAACTACAATAATAATAATAATAATAAATAACAAATAAAAACATATTATTTAAATGAAAAATTATTCCTACAATTTATATAGTTTTTTCATTTATATATATATATACTGTATATAAAGTTTATATAAAATAATTATTAATATTTATCTAATAATAATTATAGTAATAATGATGTACTTAGATTACATATAATTTTTTAATTTGTAATAATAATAATAATAAATAATATTTTAGCTTTTTAAAAAAAATGTTAAGCAAAAAAAATAAATATTTTTAACATTTAAAAAAAATAAAATCAATTACTAACCTTGATTATAATGATGCTTTTTGAAATCATATAAAGTTATTTATTTTTTTTTAAATTTAAAAAAAACTATTTGATGATGAAAAACAAAATTATAATAATTTTTATAATAGTTATTGATTAGTTATAAAATATTTGATTTTGATATATATATAATATTTAAGATAAAATTATTATTAATATAAATTTTAATATGAAAAGTGTCAAATCAAAATAAAAATTAAAAATATTTTATCGCATGATTTGTAGCACGTATTTAATATATATACTGTATACTATATATGTATATATATATATATATACTATATATATATATATATATACTATATATATATATATATATACTATTTATTATATAGTATTATGTATATACATGTGTATTACCTATAATTAGTGTTTTTAATAGTTGCTAGACGTCCACCAAAAAAAAATTAGAGGATTTACTACATTATCATTGATTAATTAAATTTTAAAAAAAATGTTTTTTAAGTAAAATATTTTAGATTTAAATAAAATTTTTTTAAAACAAATTATAAACTAATATTATATTTTTTTATACTGTATATACATGTATATCTTAATTAAATTATATTTAAATATAATTATATATAATTTTTGTCCTCTGTTTCCCGATTTAAAAATAAAAACATTTGGCAACTCTAGTTAGTGGTGTCTATGAAAACATTTGCACGTAGTCTTCAAATGTATTTTCAAAAACTAAATATATATTTAAATAACTAATACTTAGAAATTATTTGTATAAAATTATTATTATTATTATTATAGTATTAATAGTATAATTATTACTAATAATGATTTATTATTTATTTATTTAGCAATTAATAGTTAAATAAAACTATTTATTTTTCCAAATAAAAGGATTAATAAAATTTTATTTATATTTATATATTTATCATAAATAAATATTAAAACTTTATCAAATATAAAGATTAATATCAAAAAAATAAATAGCGATATAATTATAAATTATTTAAATATTAATTTTATTGCAGATTAGCAATCAATAGCAACCAGAAAAAAAATTAAAACTAATAATTTAGTGGAAAAATTTGTTTATTTATTTAGTTTATACCAACAAAAAATAAATAAATACAATTTACTGATACAATTAAAAATTAATAGATAATTATTACTATTTTTATTAAATTAAATAATATATATTTTATATACACTTAATTAAATTGTTTATCAATATATGTAATTTTTAAAAATTAATTAATTTATACTGGTAATATGACTTAATATAATAATAATTATTATAATAATAGTGTACATTGAATTCAATTGTCGCTGACCATGAAATGTCATAAAAATTATTATTAATAAAATTAAATAAAAAAATTTTTTTTTAGTTACTATATATTAAATTTATTAATAAAAAAATTATTTTATTTGAAAGCATGTATTAAGTTAACTGAAATTTAAATATATAACAAAAAATAAATAAACTATAATAAACAGTAAAACATTAATAGATATTGTTATTATGTAATACAAATTAAATATTATTATTTTATTTTTTGTATAAAAATATAAATATTATAAAAAAATAAATAAATTATTACTTATTTAATAGATATTTAGATAGATTACTAAATAATACTAACAGTAATAATAAATATTTAGATAAAAAATTTAATTGATATTTTATAAAAATTTTTAATATATTAATTATAATTTAATTGCTTTAATTAAATTAAATACATTATAATAAATTTTGATTAAATAAAAATGCAATCGAAGTGTTTATTAAATAATAATTTTAAAAAAATATTTATTATACACAAACAAACTATAATAATAATTATTAATACAAATAATAATAATAATAATAATAATTAAATAAAAATAAGAGATTGAATAAAAAAAATTTACATTTAAATTTTGTTTTGTTTTTTTAATAATAATAATTATTACAATATATATATAATAATGATATCGTATGTATGCATGAATTGATTGATTGATTTAATTAATTATTGGTAATTATAAAAAAATAATTTATATACCAATAAATGTTTACATATATATGTTTAACACATAATTAAACAAAAAACAAATAATAATTATTTATATTATAATTATAATTAAAAAAAAAAAACTAAACAAATGGTTAGTTAAAGTCCATCAGATTCAACAACAGTTGTTCCTCATTGTCGATGTCCTCTTCATCGATATGGTCATCGTTGGCCAGCACTTGACGTATATGTTGGACATCATAGTTAATATGATTGACAAATGCATATTCACCGGACTCTACATTAGCCGATTGTATTGGCGACTGGCATACGAGACACCAGTAAGCTTCGGGTCCGATACCGTCCTTCAATCGGATACCTTCGACAGTATATTTGGATTTCATTTCATCGGTAAGTTTGTCCAGAATCTGCAAACGAGCGGAACATACATCAAATTCATCGAATCGGTCGGTTTCGGTAACAAATGCTTTGTCAATCGTTTTCAAATAGTGTCCACTTTTGAATCGCCGATGAAATGGTCGTTCCAAGTGTTCGATAGCTTCGCGTTTACCGTCGATAAAGATATCGCAAAACTGGTCATAATATAGTTGTTTTTGTTTTTGTTTGTTGACTGACGACTGATTTTTCTTGTTATTGCCATCACTGGACACTTCTTCTTCTTCCTCCTCCTCTTCTTCCTCTTCATCCACTAATTTGATACCTTCTTCGCCCAATCGGTTATCCCAGTCATCCATGACTACCGTATTGATCAGTTCATCGACTACGTGACTGATCTCTGATTTGTTGTCGTCATTGACATTGTCATCGTCTTCGTCGTCATCATCGCAAGTAATAGTTTCTATTGATCCAGACTTTTCCGACGACGACGACAACAATTGCATCTGACGTTTGGCCGTATCTATAATATCCTCATCGGTTGCTGCCGACAGTCTAGCGGCCACTGCCCGCTGTTCACAGTCATCGATGTGTAGCTTCGCCTCCATTAGCGATGGGAACGACCGGTAGTAGTTGTCGTCGTCAGTGTCGTCATCATCACCGCCACAGCTAAGACACACATAGGCTTCCCGTCCGATGGCGTTCTTCATACGTATTCCGTGTTCAAGCGTACGCTCTTTAACCACAAACGTAATCCTCTGGAGTTCCTGTTTGCGGGCTAACTGTACCTCCAGTTGATCGCTTCGGTCGCTATCCACGACAAACACTCTATCGATACCCTTCCGATTGATTCCGGCTCTGTTACGCAAATGTTCGGCCGATTCGTCATGATTTTGGGCATCATCTGCGGTATGAAACTCCAGATCGCATAGCAAACACAGAAAGTAGTCGTTGTCCAGTGTATCCACTCGTTGGACAATACCTTCGTTACGCAATTCAATCAACTGATTCATTTCGCAATCGCTTAGCTGGTCGTTGACCCGCAGCTCCAGTGCATTCAGTATACGCCGATAGCGTAGTTCGACTTTCGGCGCACCGATAACATCGTCGTCGGCATCGATATCATCGACAACACCAGTATTATCGCCACTGCCGGCGCCGCCAACACTAAACGTATGATAGTTATCGGGATAATTGATGGCCGCATTGATTTCGGCAAATCTGGCCATATGTTTGTGACAGGCCTGCAGATCTTGCATCGAACACAGACAACGGGTACATATGTAGCCGACTGGTCCGCGACCTTCTTTCAGCCGTAGGCCGTGCCGGTAGAACTTTCGTTTGTCCAGTTCGGCGATACGCCTCAACTCTTGCCGACGTTTGATGGCCACTTCGCTGGTCATTGATTTCAATTTAATGGCAAACATTTTGTCCAATGGCGGCCAAAATCGTTCGCAACTATTCTGCCGATGTTCCTGACTGTTCACGTGCTTGAATATAGCCGACTGATCGGCTAATGTTTGTTCGCAAAATGCGCACAAATAGCCGGCGGCAGTGGCGTCGGTATCGCTCAGTTTGGTTATACCGTTGTCTGTCATTATGTCCGACAGCGACTTCTGCTGTTGATTGTTAGTCGGGCCGGCATTTATTGCCGATGTTCTTAAATACGGTGTCCTTTTTGGCCAATTTCGCTGCTGATTTCGGGCCACAAAACCGTTAGTCTGGCTGCTATTGGCAGCCGATTGGGAACCGCTGCCATACTGTTGCTGCTGCTGATGCCTGTTATGATAGTTATTATTGTTGTTATAGTTATTATTATTATTGCGATGATTGATGAGTTGTTGTGATCCCATAAATCCCGCGGTCATCATATTTCCGGCCGTATTGGTGGGCGTTGTCGTTGATCCGTAATATGACGACGGCTGCGACATGTAATCCGATGTCTGATTGCTTGTTGTCTGATAATAGCCGCCACCGCCGGTGTTTGATGGCTGATGATAGGCATAATAGTGTTGCTGTTGTTGTTGTTGTTGACCATAATTTTGATAAAAACTATTATACGACGATAGCTGACGGTTAGTGGCCATCGCCGCTGCCTGTGCTGCAGCCGCGGCCGGCGTCGATGAATAGCCACCACCACTACTACTACTGATACTAAAACTGTTGTTTGTTTGTCGGCTATAATATGGATAATATTGTTGTTGATGTTGTTGTTGTTGTTGATAATAGTATGAATTGACGGCCGAAGCGGTGGCGGCGGCGCCGCCAATATTATGATAATTATGCGTTGAATTAGCGTATTGTTGGTGCGTTTGCGGCGTCGCCGCCGCCGCCGCCGTCGTCGGTCTTCTTATGTATGATGACGACGACGACGACTGATGATTGACTGGTCCTCCGCGTTGGCCATACGGGTCGGCGGTAGCCGTACTGTCGGTAGTTTGCGATCCAAACGTCGGATTATAGAAATCCGAGTCGGAATCGTTGGCCGAGTCGTCGTCTGAATTGTCTTCGGCATCATTATCGGTAAACAGATAGCGTTGTGCGTAATAAGCGTATCGATCGGCGGCGGGTCGTTGACCACCACCACCACCACCACCACGATGTCCGCCACCCCGATAGCCACCGCCGCCTACTCTGGCCATCATTGACGACGACTGCGTCGGCGGCGGCGGCGCCGGCCGTGACATCGCTTGTCTAAACTCATCGTTAAAGTAGTCGTCGTCCTGAAGCTGTTGGCCATCAATCAGTTCCGGGTTATAGTAGTCTTCGGTCAGATCGTCCATCATTTGGTCAGTCGGTTAGTGATAACACATGCGGTCTGATTGTTGTCGTTGTTGTTGTTGTTGTCATCAATTGATTACCGAAATAATAATAATAATTATTATTATTATTATTCAATAGACTATATGTTATGTAATATAAGTTTATTTTTTTTAATAGTGTTTATTATATGTCAACAATAATTATGTTGCCATACATTAGAAAGTTTTCAAATATAATGTGTACCTTTTTATGACTATATAACTATTATTAGTTTAAATGTTTGTAAATATAGTATAAAAAAGGACTTTTTTAGGTTTGTTTTAATATTGCCATCTATACGATAATTGTTTTATAATAATTATTATTATGTATTATAACTTTAAATATATTTATTTAATATATTTTAAATATTTTTTAAAAAATTATTGTATTTATAAATAAATATATATTTTTTACATCAATTAAATAGTTTATAGATTTAATTATAAATATATTTAATTTACAGTATAGTATAGATATTATGTTAGGTTAGGGTTTATGATAGTTAAGATTTTTAAATAATTAAAAATTTTGATATATTTATACTAAACTTTTTTTTATTAATTATTTAATTAATTTTTTAAAAATTAATAATTCAAAATTAAATGTTAACTATTTATTATTATTATTATTATTTTATTAATCTATTAATTATAATTAATATATAATATAATCTATTAAATATAGAAAAAAAAATAATTTTTAAATGTAAAAAACAATTTTATTTAATATAACTATTTATTTAATTATATATATATATATATATATATATATATAAAACTTATCTCTCTCCCCTCTATTACTCCCCGCCCCCCAAAAACAGTCAATCTATCAATCAGTCCCCTATAACTGTAGTATAGCTTCGACTTCAATACCGACACCGGCCGGCAAACTGGCCACACCTATCGTACTCCTGGCCGGATAGGGTGGTCGAAAATATTTTTCCATCGACTGGTTAACCGCTTGGAAATTACCGAAATCCAGTATAAAAATAGTTAGTTTGACCACTTGATCCAATCGACCGCCCGCTGCTTCGACAACTGTCCTTAAATTACTGAAAACTTGATCCGCTTGTCGGTCAAATGGTTCCAGTACTAGTTGGCCAGTTTGGACATTTTTGGCTATCTGGCCACTCAAGTAGACAGTATTGCCCGATCGTATGGCCTGGGAATAGGGACCGATAGGTTCGGGTGCCAGTGGTGTACGGATCTCCTGTCTGGTCGTCGATGATGAAGACATTGTCCGCCGCTAAACACACAAATTAATAGGTAATTAAAAAAATTGATTTTTATTTAAATTAATTAATTAATTTTGTGACTAAATTTTGTCTCTACTTATATATATAGACTGTATTTATTTGATTTGATTTGATTTTTAAATATAAATTTTTGTTTCGAGTGATGATTACATACAATGATAGTCGAGAGCACCGGTAGTGTAGACCTTGAGAGTAGCATTGGATAGAAGATAGGATAGAGAGAGCACTGGTATTCAAGTTTGGTTGGTTGGTTGGGTAGTGGGTATGTGTAAAGTAATACACTGTTACTAATATACCAGTTATTTACTTGTAATGTAAAATTAAAATCAAAGATATATTATTGCATAAACTATGGGTGCTATCTATATATAAAGTTATATATATTGATATATATATACAGTAGTATATAATACAGTAAAATTTAGATCATATTTATTATAGATAGCACTGATAGTTTATGCCATAATATAAATATATTGATATAATACAGTATATATATATATATATATATATATATATATAAATAAAATTTTATATTAATTATTATTATTAATTAATTAATTTTAATTTTATTATCATTATTAATAATTATTAAATAGCTATCATATTTTTTAAAAAATAAATAAATAAATTGTTTTTTTAATTTAAAATATTTCACATTTATTAAGATATATTATGATAATTTAACAAGTTTAGTTTAAGTGCAATAGATTACATTATATATATATATATATAATATATTTATATACTATTTAATATTCAATGATAAATAATTACAAATAAATAATTAAAAAAATATTAGTATATATTAATAACAATACTGTATATACTAATGCACTTAAATTAAACTTGTTAAATTATCATGTATGAATTTTATTTATAATAAAAAAAATATTTTAAAATATGATTAACTATTATTATTATTAATAATAATAATATATTAATTATTTTGATTTAAAATCATATGATATATTTAATGTGTATTAATAATTAATAAAACAAATAATAATACTTAAAAAAATCTATAATTAATTAATATAATGCTTTAATTTTAATTATTAATATATTTTTTGTATATTTTTTTGTATATAAAATATTATATTTTAAAAGCAGGATGATTTTTATCCCCCTTATTAAACATAGCAAATTGTTATACAAAATAATAATAATAATAATATATATCTATAAATTAAAACAACAAATAAAAAATCTGATGATATTTCTAGTGAAAGACATTTAGACACACATACAGTATGTGTAATACAATACAGGTATGCATTTGAAACAAATAATAAAAAAAAAATAAAAAATAATATTTTAGACGACATTTAATATATATATATATATATATTATAGAAATAATTATTATTGTAAAGTGTTTTCATTTAACATATTTTTATTGTCAATGTTATAGACAATCATCACTACTATATACAGTAGAAAGTCATTAGAGAAAAATTTTCAATAAATATTTATTATTATTATTATATAGAAAACATCAAATGTTAATAATAATAATAATAATAATAATAATAATAATAATAATATTTGTATTAAATGCATAGTCACTATTACTTTACACAAAACAAAATTATTTAGTTTTTTTTTGATAATAAAATAATTGGATAAATATTATATTATAATACAATAGAAATAATATATATATATATTACTAATAACCTATTATTATTTGGTGGTGATTGTGATATTACATTATATATTAGATGTCAAACAATGCGACTAAAAATTTAATACTAATAATAATTGTATTATTAAAAACATAACGCATTTTATTTATTAAATTTTTTTAATTAATAATTTAATTTAATAGTTATAATAATAAATTATTTTGTTAATAGCTTTTTTTAATTTAAAAAAAATTGTTTATATTTATTTTGTTAATATATATTTTTTATATAATAAATAGTTGAATTTATTTTTTTAAAATTAATAAAATTTGTTAACAAACAAACAAAAATGTTTATCCGAAGTATGGACTTAACAAAAATATCGATAATATGTGTCCAATCGGTACTAATAGTCCTACAATTTTTTGCATTTTTCGGCAGTCTGGCCACTCTGGTCAACAGTATATGGATTTATACGCATAATAATACTAATAAATCTGATCGCTATTATTATTATCCAGGTATGTGTACTTAAAATTTTTATAATTAATTAATTAAAAAAACATAATTACTTGTTAAAAAAATAATAATAATTAGCTAGATAAATTTATTACAAGTAATTATAAAAATAAAACTTTACATCAATCAGGTGAATATATACTGAAAAAAATAATTATATAATTAACTAAATGTAGTAATTATTTAATTTATTTGGAGATAAAAAAAATTATATTTTTATTAAATGCTTGAAACAACAACAACAACAAAAAAATGATAATAATATATGTTTAACTATAGATATAATTATTATAGTAATTAGGAAAATAATATAATACAAATTTTTTTCCACACATATATATATAGTTTATATATAACAAAAAATTAGTAAAAGGGAATTTACACTTAAACTTCCACTCTCTCTCTCTCTCTCTCTCTCTCTCTCTCTCTCTCTCTCTCTCTCTCTCTCTCTCTCTCTCTCTCTCTCTCTCTCTCTCTCTCTCTCTCTCTCTCTCTCTCTCTATCTATCTATCTATCTATCTATCTATCTATCTATCTATCTATCTATCTATCTATCTATCTATCTATCTATCTATCTATCTATCTATCTATCTATCTATCTATCTATCTATCTATCTATCTATCTATCTATCTATCTATCTATCTATCTATCTATCTATCTATCTATCTATCTATCTATCTATCTATCTATCTATCTATCTATCTATCTATCTATCTATCTATCTATCTATCTATCTATCTATCTATCTATCTACCTACCTTAAACACTAGAGTGTGGGAAAGTTTCCGTATAAATTCCCTTTACTAAAATTTTTATTTATATATATATATGAAACCAAAAAAAATGTGTATTATTTTATTATACAAAAATTACTAACAATTAGCACCGAATAGTTAACATTAGTTTTATTTTTGATGGTTTTTTTTATAACTAAAATTTTTAATTAATTTTTTTTGTGGTATAATTTTTTGAACCAACAAAAAAAACAGTCAAAGAGCTGATCCTATTGATAGTCATATTTGTTATATCGATGATTACGCAAGTTTTGGGCATATTTTCCAATACAAAGAAAAACTACTTCCTATTGATACTCTATGTGGTACTACTGTTGATACAAGTGATCATATTTTTTGTCAGCGATGGCCTACTATTGCTGGGGATTTGGGATACGGTTATCATTTTCTTGACACTAGTACTCATTGCGCTCATCCAACAGGAAGGTTGGCTTCGGCTCCGGAATCGGCGACTACAGAGAGCAACAGCAGGTGTAGTGGCCAACGGTGTTGTTGTTGGCGGCGGTGGTGCCGGTGCTGGCGCTGGCAGTGTTGGCCAACAGTATGCCTATTTGGACAACAATCCGCCGCCCGATTACAATACGGCAGTTATGACTAAACCGACGTACGGGACGCCGCCGCCGGCCTACCAGTCGGTCGAGTTGATGGCCGTTTCAAATGGTGGCCAACCGGCCGTCCATTGGCAACGATATTGATGAGAGAGAGAGAGAGAGAGAGAGAGAGAGAGAGAGAGAGAGAGAGAGAGAGAGAGAGAGAGAGTTATTGACAACAAAACTAATTGTTTGTTAATTAATATATTTATTATTTTAATTTTTAGGATCAAATAGGATAAACATTTTTATTGTTAATAATAATAATTATTATATTAATTAATTAATTAATTAATTAAAATGAATTATTTTTTTTAATTTATTATATACCGATTATGACTTGACTATTATGAAAATAACAATTTTTTTTATTTATCCTATTATTATTATTATTTTGTGATACAATATTATTAGTGTTAAAATTTTAAAATATATTATTATTATAAAATAAAAATTGTTATTTTAAATATCTAAAAATTTTTGTTTTATTTAAATAATATAATATTAAAAATATAATAATAACAATATAACTATACATATCTTATTAGATAAGCATTAATATTATTATTATTAATAAATTATTATTTTTAATAATAATAATAAGTTATGTTATACTTCCTTAAAAGTAATTTATATCCTTAATTATATAACAATTAATAATTGATATTTTTGGAGACTATTTATGTGAACATTAAGTTTAAAATTATAATAATAATAATAATATTTAAGCAAAATTTAAAGTAATTTTTTCAATTTAAAGAAGTCATGCAATTAATCTCATTAACCAATTATTGTATAATAATATATATATTTTTTGTAAATTTTGTTGCGAAACAATTGTGTGCTAATATAAAAAATACAATAGTTTTTAATAATACATTTCTACATATATTTTAAATATTTTTTTTTGGCAATTATTAATTATATATATATATGAATTTTGACAAACATTTGATATCATTAATACATAAAATTATTTATAAAATTTATTTTATGATTATTAGTGCAACTAAACAAAAAGGTAATTTAAATTTCTATACTAATGTGCAAAAAATTATTTAATAAGTGATTAAAATAATTATTGATTATATAATTTTTTATTTATCAATAATCAAATTTAATCAAAAATTTTTAATCTTAATTCTATTGTTTTATTAAATGTGATATTTAACTAAATAAAAACAATTATAAACTATTTTGTTTATATTAATAAAAAATAATATTAATATAATTTTTTTTTTTGAATAATAATATTAATATAAATTATTTTAAATAATAATATTAATATAATTTTTTTTAAATAATAATAAAATAATTTTATAATAATAATAATAAAATAATTTTATAATAATAATAATATAATAATTTTAAGTATAATATTAATATAATTTTTTTAAATAATAATAATAAAATAATAATTTTAAGTAATAATATTAATAAAAATAATAAATGACTAATCGTTATAAGTATTTATCAGTAGTGACGTTATGTTTAACATCACTACTGATAGCAGTTGTCAATACACAGTCACTGTTGGATCGGTTAAGACAACAGCGATTGATAGCTAACGGCGCCGCCGGCAATGGTTTCGGGCCACCAAACGGAGGACCGCTAATAGTAATCGACGGCAAAAAACAGTCCAAACATAAGGATCTGATTATTATACAGCCGTCGGCAATGTATGGCCAACAACAACAACCAGTGAAACTACCGTTTTGGCGCCGACCGCTATTAGGTGGCCGACCATTTAATGGACTTTTTGGATAATTTTTATATTTAAAAAAATAAAATTTTTACAGTAAATAAATATATTTATAATTATATAATAATAATAATTTATTTTTGATATTTTTTTGGTTTTGATATATATCTATATAAAGTATATATATATATATATATATATATATATATATATATATATATATATTATATACAGTATTATATTATAATTTATATATAATTAAAAAATAAATAGTAATAATTTATTAGTATAAATAATAATAATTTATTTTTGTTAATTTTTTGGTTTATTTATTGGTTAAATTATATATAAAAAACAACAATAAAATTATGTGAAATATTTAGTATATATATTAGACATAAAATTGTAATATTAATTTATTTAAAAAAATATATAATATGTATTATAACATTGATTACATTACTTAAAATGTTATAAAAATTTATTACATTAAATTAATTACTTTTAGTTTAATTTACTGTATTATCAAATATATTTATTTTTATTTATTTTTGTTTGTTTTTAATTATAGCAATTAAATTGTTATCTATATGTATTTAACAATTTATTTTTGATATTATCTATTACATCTATAAATTATACAGGTTAAAAAATTAATTTATAATTATTAAATATTGTTTTATTTACGTACTTAATTTTACGTTTTTTAAAAATAATAATACTAATGATACCCATGGTAAATGATTAAGATAATAAAAAAATTTATTTCACTTATTAAACTATTGAATGTTAAATTTAAAAACTAAAATTATTTTACTATTAATTTTTATGTATGTAAAATTTTTTTAATTAATTTGTCTAAAATAGAATCTTAATTATTTTTTTTGACAATACAGTATATATAATTATTTTATTTAAATATTTTAAATTATTTATATATATATCTGTAATAATTTAATAATCAATTAATTCAATTAATTATATACGCAATTAAATTAAGTATTAAAAATAAATAAAAAAATATGTATTATAAATTTCAAGTGAATATTTTAATACTATTAAATTACGAGAGAAACAAAATTTATTATAAAAGTTTTTTTAATCACTTATTCATATAAAAATTATTTATTGAAAACTATTAAACAAAATAATTTAATTTATTTGATAATAAATAAATATTTTACAAAAAAGTTAGGTTCGGGTAGTTTTGGGTAAAGTTTTTTTTAAAGTCAAAGATAATGAAAACTAATTAAATTGTTTGCTCTTTTAAACAAATTGAATTAAATGGTGAAAAAATACTAAAAATATTACTTAAAAATATTACTAAAAATATTAATAAATATATTACTAAAAATATTACTAAAAATATTACTAAAAATATTACTAAAAATATTACTAAAAATATTACTAAAAATATTACTAAAAATATTACTAAAAATATTACTAAAAATATTACTAAAAATATTACTAAATATATTACTAAATATATTACTTAAATATAGTGCTTAAAAATATAGTTATAATATAATAGTTAAAACAAGCTTATAATTTATAAAAAGATATTTAATGAATTTTTTAAAATAAATTTTTATTTAAAATTCAAATATTTAATAATATTATACATCTTTTTAAAAATATTTATTATACTTAATTATAATATTTGCATCAATTTAGATTAATTTATACATATTACAAATTAATAAATTATTGTACACTTTTTATTTTTCTATTAAAAAAAATAAATAACAATCAAAATATTTTAATTAATATTATTTAATAATCTAATAAGTCATAATAAACTACCCCGGATCAAATTATTTAAACTTAAGATCTGATTATTTTTTTTGTTAATTAAATCCTAAAATATATGTCTAATATATGGAAAACTGGAGTTTTTTAAATGTTATTATTATTAAATAAACTTTATTTAATATATTTATATATTTAAATTATATATATATATAATAAATGTTTCTTTAAATATTAAAACTTATTATAATACAAAATAAACTAATAAATAATTTTTACTATAAATTAGAAATAAGTTTATACTTAATATTATAACCAATATATTGTTAGATAAAAAACTTTGTAAGAAAAAACTTTTATAATACTTTTTTTAATATTAAATAATACCTTATATTAAATAATATAGTTTATAAATCAATAATTTGTTTTTCTAATATAAAAATATTTATATATTAAGTAATACTATCATAGTTTAAATTATCATTAAGTTTTTATATTATTAACGTTTTAATAGTTTACGTATAATAGATATCTGTTTTGATTAATACAATTTGATTTTCAAATATATATACTGTATATACAGGTACATATTTTTTTAATCATTAAATAAGCAAGCAAAAAATTTTTTATTTTATATATAACAGTTAACAAAATAATATTGAAAACAAAATTAATTGTTGTTACTATTATGTTATAATATATTTTTAGATATCTAACAACAATTAGTATATATATGTAATATTAATTATTACTATTTATTATGAAATATATATTTTATATTATATGACTCACAAAATATTTTTGTTAACCACTTCCTATAACTTATACATAAAACATATACCACTTATAGTTGGATATACAGTACAGTATAGATATACAGTGTATTAATTATTTTTTAATTAAAATTGGATTTTTAAATTAAATAAAAAAACTATTGATAATAAGTGATAGTTTACTAATTAGTTAGCTATTGGTTATTATTATTATTGATATCTAAAACATTGTTTTTTTTTGGTAATCACTATTGAGAGACAACTAATCACTAAATATTAAAAAAAGGTTTAAAAATAATATTTACATAATAAAGATTTTTTTATATAAAATTAATATATTTATTCATAATTAAAAATTAATAAATTATTATATTGTTAATTAATTTTATAGTTTTTTACTCTAGTTACTTAAATTTATTACAGTATATGATATATAATTTTTTTAAAAAAAGGTTTAAAATTTATATTTACATAATAAAGAAATTTTTTATATAAAATTAATATATTTATTCATAATTAAAAGTAAAAAAATAATTATATTGTTAATGAATTTTATAATTTTTTTTAAAAAAAACTAGTTATTAAACTATTAGTATTTTATAATGAAATATAAATTTTATATTTTTTTTAGAGATAAGTTATGAGAGTGACCAACAATATAGTTGTCGCCGGTATTTATACAAGGATTTACAATTAAAGTCAATTTAATAAAAGTATTTAAAAATTATTTTAATAAAAATATATCTAATATTATTATTAATAAGTTTTTAAAAACAATTTTTTTCTAATTTATTATTTAATAGTTAACTTACATCTCTAAGTCTATACTAATTTAATTTTATCCCATTTTTTTTGTTGCTATCATCTCTTCAAAAATTTAAAATAAATTTATCAAATCTAATCTAGGTAATATAATATCTCTAATTAAATACTAATATTTATTACTAATTTTACTAAGAATTTTGTTAACCACTTCCTATAACTACTATAATATAAAATATATATCAC